ACAACGCCAACCTTAGGGTCACCCAATATCAGCGCCCCAGTCTGGCTGTGGTAGTCTGGAGGACTGTCCTAGATAACCTTGAGAGTTGTCAAAGAGGGAACGATGCGGATCCTTCTTGTCTCGGATAAGCATTTACCTTCTTGATCAGTTAAGGGTGCAAATGGAGCTTGGTACATACAGGGATCAGGGACAATTATGATCTCAGGCTCCTTCAGTAGATGGACCACGGGAGCAATGATAATCTTGTAGCACAAGAGATGTTTCGTTTGAGTGATGTCCTTGGAAGGGTCGGAGAAACTGTTTCGGAAAAACTCATCCAAGTCAGGTACTAATCCCGTCAACACGTTTTTGTCCAGGCTCACTTCCTCTTTTGAGAAACGAACCACTCCCGCTGCTTTGTGAACCCAAAACTGTACATTGGCCTTACTAGGTGAAATGTAAAGGCAGGTACAGTTAGTCTGCTTTGTGATAATATTTTGAATACCACACCATGAATTGGTATTGCCTCAGATGTGTTCTTCAACAGAGTATCGAGCTGCCATCAAGTCAGCCAGGCCTCTTGCCCGCATTAGGTTTTCAACATAGAGAGCATCTTGTGGCTTCCCAGTGTCACAAAGCAATTTACCGGGCAACTTGTAGGGGAAAGTGCCATGCCTTTCTAATAGAGATATTTTGAACCGATCGCTGTCCTTCAGAAAACCACGCAAAGCTTCGAATTTTTCGATGCACTGATAAAGATACGAGAAGGCTTCTTTGAGATCAGATTTTGATAACTTCAACTTTGTTGACGCAAGAAGAAACTGATACTCTTCTAAGTTAAGCCCAATCTCCCTGCTCAATGAGAGTGCCTTTTGAAAGTAATCTTCAGCCACGTCATATTTACAGAGTGAATGAAAACATTGTGCCAAACATGCGTAGGAGATTGCTTCTCCTCTATTGTGGCCAATTTCAGTGAAGATTGTAAGGAATTTCTTGAAGTATTCTTGAGCCTTGTCATACAGACCAGACTGATAGGATATACATCCAAGGAGGTGGTGATCCCCTGCCTCCCCAGGTCTGTCACCGAGTTCCATTCTAATTGCCCGTGTCTTATCTAGGTAGTTGTCGGCCCATGGATATTTGCCTTTTAATAAAAACAAACCTGTTAGGCTTCCATAAATCATTGCCATATGT